CGCGGCAGTCTCTGTCGCTACGGTCTTGAAGTCTTCGCGCTGTTTCCAGTTCCCTTGATTTTCTCGCCTGCGCAAGTGTGGTTTGGCCAAGAAGCAATAATCCATGTTGGTCCAAGTTGTGTATTAAATCTGAGAACTTCGTTTTGTACGTTTTCCAGGTCGCATGGTAAATCTGTTTCAACAGTACCGTATGTTAGCTTGGGTTCTCATATGGATGCCACGGGTGTTGGAATTCAAGTGGCTCGATTCCCTGTTCTTCAAGGTAATGTTCGCTCATACTTGGTTGTTGAAAATATTTGAAAGCTTCAAAGTGAAAGTCCAAGACATCTCTATACACGATGGCGAGAACCTCTGCTGTGTTTTTGTCATCTGAGAAGAGGTCTGAAGTTTGGAGAAGGAGACTAAGTGTTCTCCCAAGCTGTTGATACGTGTTCAAGAGCTCGCTGAATGCTGTAGAGAAACTGTCTCCTATGAGGAGAAGAAGCTTCCATGGTCCCTTCAATAAGAACTGCCAAATTAGCCTTGAAATGTATAGTTTAGCTAGTGTCTTGCTATTCAGATGGACACATCATATAATGGATGTGGCTATCCGGGCGGACAGTGATCAGAAACGACGACAGTAACAACAATAAAGACGTCAAAAGGGATAACGGGCTAAATGGCAGTGAAGGATTTGAAAGAAAGAGTACGAAATATGGCAAGACTTTCAATTACCCAGACAAACGCGAGGACTTCAGACGTTTGACAGAACACATCGATAACCTTTCCGAATTGATTCATCGCCTCTATGAATCCTTTCAACTTAGTCATGTTTTGTTGCCGTCTTCCTTTATGCAATCTGGTTTGGAGGGAATCGATTTCCTTCGTGAACTCATGTTCCGTTGAAAACTTGAAGTACTCTCTTTCTTGAGGCTTAAGTCGAGATTTGAATGCCTCCAGCTCCTCCTCAAACGGGCTGAGGGAAGTGGCAGTATTGGAAAGCTGTGGATTCTTAGCGTGTGCCATCTGGGGATGAGTCGCTGAAGCCTGGAATTCGGGCGTCAGATTGAGCAAGACACGGAAAACTTTTTTTCGACCAGTCCTGTTGGGGCGTACACATTTTATGGCAATGCAGCCGACGGGTCCTGATGTACTCCTGCAAGTGTGACAGGACGGTGTGCTGGGGCGAGGGGCTAATAAGGCCGGTCCACCTACTTGCCAAGGCAGACAAGGCGTCCATGGGCCGCAACGTAGGTTGCACGGGATAAGGCCTTGTTTATTTCAACGAGAACCCCGCTTCGAATTTCGGAAATATGTGCCTCATCCATCACACCAAATACATAGAGAATCTCGCCATCGAAGAAAGCACCACACCGGCACCCTCCAACTGATCCAGGATGGCTTCGAAGCGATCATGGTCAACATTTCAGGATGATCCCCACTCATATTATCCCAATGTGCCAGCAAATCATGCTTCAGAAGCCTTTTGCTTGAAGTCTGACAAATGGCAAAGCAATGTCGCGAAGGCCTCTCGCACTGCAGCGACTTCGTCTACCAATCTACCCGACACCAGCCAGGATGTTTGCTATGGCAGTGTAAGTTTTGTGCATACAAGCCTACCTGATCAATATAATGATAGGCTAAGAGCGTAAAGATCATCGAGGTCAAATGTCTTCTACAGGGATATCCGGAAGAGTCACGTAGACTATTTCCGAACCCAATCACCGTCTTCGATGTCCGTCCTGTCAGCTCCTACTTTGGAGTTTATTGTGAAGACAGACTTGTTGCAGTACTTTCTAAAGAGATTTGTAAGCTCATATTGAAGCTGAAAGAGGTTCGTGTGCGACAGTGCCAAGCGACTGTCACGATCCAACAGTGGACTGCAGCTCTACAAGAATGGAAAATTGGAAGTGGAAAACCAGTGATGGAGGTTGAGTTAATCATCTACGGCTCCAAAGAGGACGCCAAAAGTGTCGGGGAAACACTGTCAATTTCCCAATTTACCCTTCAACGTCCAAATATTGACCTTCGCGGAACAACGTACTACAATCCACACTACCTAGAAATCAGCCATTCTTCAGAGGAAGACATCTTGCGTCACGAACGTATCTCTCTTGGTAGTTCAAATGCACAGGATATCATGGAAGAAACGATGTCAACGAACATCGATGTTTCCGAAGAGGTCACCCGAATTCTTGACTCCCTCTCTCATAAGGGAGTTCTTCGCGAACAACTGGCGGATGAACGAATCAAAAGTCAACTACTGCCGTGAGTCGATCTACCAGCTCCCTGTCCCGCGGAAGGTTCTGTCAACATTGCGCATTAACACAGTCTTAGACACCAAAGAGTTGCCATTGACTTTGTATCCCGCACTGAGACGGGGACACTTTTCCCAAATCTTAGCTTGTGGTGTTACGTCGACATGGGGGAAGATTCATAGTAAGCCAACCGCCCGCCAGGGACAGATACAACATGTTCAACCACTGATGTCATTGGTAGCCATCAGCATATTATTACAGGATCTAAGTCCGCTACAGCCCAACAAGTCAAAGGTGGCATCATAGCAGACGAGATGGGCCTTGGGAAGTCCCTGATTATGCTTTCAGCCATAGCAGGGTCCTTCGATCGAGCGGCTAAGCATGCGAGGTGGAACAAAAATGACTCAAACAGAGATGAAGTCCACGCCGGTGCTACTTTGATCGTGGTTCCATCACCATGTAAGTTATTACAGACGAATTCATGGATGCAGTTGCGCCGATGGCTGGCGCAGTGCTGAGTGACAACTGGATTGCCGAAGTTCGAAAGTATGTTTGTTCCAATTGATAGGCGTCACGCATGCGCAGGCTTAATAAAAGTCGTTCTAACGCTGGACAAGACACGTCTACCTAGGAAACTTAACATTTTACAAGTACCATGGTCACAAGCGAAAAGAGTCTCCACAAGAAATGCTACAATCTCACATTGTCTTTTCCACGTACGCAACCATCGCAGCTGAGGCAAGTCAAACGTCGTCTCCACTGGCTGCAATACATTGGTTTCGCATAGTCTTAGACGAAGGTTTGTTTCTGTCTTCTGTATTTGACGTTGAAAGATCAGGACTCATTAGGTCTTGGTAGCACACGACATTCGCAACCGAACAACCCAGCAGTTCCAAGCCTTGATTCGCCTGAGAGCAGAACATCGGTGGTGTCTAACAGGAACACCGATTCAGAATAGCTTGGAAGATCTCGGATCACTCATGACTTTCCTCAGAGTTCCAGTTTTCGAGAACGCAGCAACATTCAGGCGATTCATCTCGAGTCAGTGCAACTCATCGTCTAGAGAGAGCTTTCAGGCTTTGAAAACTCTCCTCTCTACAGTTTGCCTACGCAGAACCAGAGATGTTATCAACCTTCCCAAACCGGTTCATCATCAGAGAGTTCTTGAACTCACTGACATGGAGCGCGAACAGTATAATTGCATTATTAGAGACAGCCGACAGATGATCCAAATGGCAGTCAGTAGGCGTGGAAATATGAAACATAACACAGCTGTTCTGCAGTCCCTCCTGCGACTACGCTTGTTTTGTAACAATGGTAGACCTGATTTCGTGCAAGCCGCAAGCAACAAAGGCACGCCAACGGATCCATACGAGCTGCTGACATACCTCCAGCAGACAGACAACGCAATATGCGTTTATTGTCACCGCAACATTTACAGCATCCATGACAAGCAAAAAATAGAAAGCGACGGCGGTATTCAGGTTCAAGGATGCACCCATTTAGTTTGCAGTGGGTGCGTGCCAAAACACTACGCGGCCAAGTTGAGATGCATTAGTTGCTCGACTCAAGGCCAAGAAGATGCGGTCAACGATCTCACGATTCCTTCTCAGCAAAGAATAACAACTCAATTGGGGTCAGATGCGGACACAGTTTACCCAACGAAGCTTAGAGCCCTTTTACAAGATCTTCAGCATGATTTTCGCAGTTGTGATCACCATGACAAAAAGAGGTATGGAATTTGAAACATATTTTGAGTTTCCAGACGATGTTTCAACCGACAATTTCTGATGAGGCACTCAGTATCGTGTTCTCGTCGTGGAAGAAGACATTGGATCTTGCAAAGAAGCTTCTTGCTTCCAATGATATAAATTCGTACCTCATCCATGGATCTTTGCCAATCTCAGAGCGGGCAAAAATTCTCAAAGACTTCCATTCCCTTGGCGGAGCGAATGTCCTTTTGATGACCTTGGGAACAGGCGGCGTTGGGTAAGAAGGTGTTTCTGGGGTTATCTCTGGCAGAAGCTAATAGCGACACAAGACTGAACTTGGCGAGTGCGACTAGGATTTATCTCTTGGAACCTCAATGGAATCCATCAATTGAGCTTCAAGCTATTGGCAGAGCTTTCCGGTTGGGTCAGGAGCAACAAGTGATGGTTATACGATACATCATGAAGGAAACAATTGAGGACGTAAGTCACTCATCCCAAGCAAAAACCCGGAACTAAAACATCCATAGACCAATGTGTTACAGAGACAAGAGAGGAAATTGCAAGTGGCCGACGGAGGCTTTTTACAGAAACCACAGTCATTTTCCTCGGAAAGAGCCGAGGCTATATCCGTAAGTAATGAGCTTTATCCGCCCCAAGCAGCGTGTGGCAGCGGTCTAACTATGAGTCTTAGGAGATTTTTGGGGTGGGTCTTCGAAATTGATTTGAGCTCCCGGTTCTAGGCGCGCTGAATGCCGTGCGAACTGACGCCACTATGGCGCGTTCAATCCTGTAGTTGATTCACACCTGTCCTCAACAGATGCAAATGCAGCCCAGGCAAGGTGAACTGTAACGCATCATGTGTGTGCCGTATTGAGATCATCCTCTCAGCTTACAATTGTGGGGGTTTTCTTTATGCTCTCATCATTGCAAAACCCGAATAAACCGATTGCCCCTTCGATGCTCCTGCTCCCAAATTGTCATTAGATCCTGTGCTCACTGCATTTTAGTATATGACCTACTCGGGTATCGCTCACTCCTGACCTTTTCGCCGTCACGACTTCATGTCGCCGCCTACAGCTGATGATCCCTCCCCATTACCATTGACCTCATTCGACGGCTGACCTACTGCTACCTTTTCGTATGCTGGCGCCGCCGTACCCGGACCTTCATAGGCTGGGACTGCTTCGTCAATTGGTGGTGGAGGCGGTTCTAATGACAACGTCGCCATACCCGCCGACGCCGCTCCAACACCCCCGCTCAACGCCTCTTCGACCGGAGGATGCACAACGATTCTGTTCTGCCATCCGCATTCCCAGGACTCTCCTCCAATTGAAAGCTTCACCTCCCAGTGCAACACATGAGATAGTCTCACGCAGTACGTCGTGTATGTGGGTGATATCGTCTCAAGTGTCCCGCCGCCGAATTTCGAGGCGCCAACTACCGACCCCCTGGCGTCGATCTGCAGGCCCAAAATTGCCCCGAGATCCAGTACGTCCTCCTTGGGAGCGCAAGGGACTTCAAATCCGTCGACCTCGTTGACGAACTTGTTGGTCCTGCCGATGCATAGCTTCCTTGTCTTGCTTCCTTCATGCGAGTCGAATGTTCCCGGGCAGATGACACCAACCGTGCTGTGCATCTCTAGCGTAGCGCTCTTGACATAAGCCTTTTGAGGGACGTCTTGGATGACGTCGGAGCTCTTCTCTCTGTTTGGTATGATGCGCAATCTGAAGGGTATTGTATACGGATTTCCCAGTTGTATTTGCGTGGGGTACTCGACTCTCATTGAGAAATGGAAATTTGGCACCTTCGAAGACCCAAAGAACTTTTGCGACTTCTGCTTGAAACTCAGTTTCGCATCTTCCATTCCGGGAATTAGTCGCTGCGTCGAGACGAGTCCGTTCATCATTCTCCCTGTCAGTCCAAAATCTGTCATCGGCGGCGACGGAGATGGTACCGACCATACTCTCAGTGGCATCGTTGCCTCAATGATCTTGCTCTTTCCCTCGACTCGCAACTCGGCTTCGAGCCAGTACTCAAAAAAGCCATGCCAGCTCTTGCCGAACCCAGAGTGTTCAAAGAAGAAGCTTCCCGGCAGAGGCTGCTCTGGCACACCCAGCTTTCCTTGTGGATCACCGGGCGCATGTAAGAAGCACGCGGCCCTCTCATTCTCAGATAACCCCGCATTTACGGCGGCGGCGTCAGTGTGAGTCGGAAGTGCCAACGCAAAAGGCCATGACTGCTCTTCTCCTGTGCCTTGGGCAACGTGTATCGGTCCATGATGGACGACGTCGGCGATGGCTCCCTCGCGCCAGAAGTTGAAGCGGGAACGGTAGTAGCTTTTTGAGTTGTTTCCACGGTCGATCACGAGTTTTGCTTTGGCACGGCCGAGGAGGCGGACACGGATGGTGGCGTTCGGTGCGACGATGTGAGACTTGCGGACGATGTGGCCTAGGATGACGCTCCCTGGATACAGCGGCGTCGCAGGGTTGACAAGCTGAATAGAGAGGTCGTTGGATCTTTTGATATGTGTCGGCGGCATGTCGATGAACGCTACGGCGCAATCAATGTGTTGAAGATGGCGCCGCCGATGCGAAGTGACGATGCGAGATGTCAGGTGAGGTTGACGTTCGCGAACGGGCCTTAGCTGAAAAGGCGCTAAGGGTGGCGTCGTCAGCACCTTGGCGCTAGGCACCAACCAGAAGCTGTTTCTCCTCATCCTTGGGAATGTGATCACCACTCAAGATCTGACCGTGAGTAATCGCACCTCTTGAATCTCGAAGCGGCTTGTGCAATTTATGCACTCATTGTGCACCTGAAGCTATTATCAGCAACGTTTTCAGCGTCACCGAATCAAGTCGCCGAGCATCAGCGCAAACACGTTTTGTGTTAAGAAATAGCTTTGTTAATTATTCAGTTATTCATTTTCTTTTCTTTTTTTTGTGTACGATATGGTAAAATGATACCATTCATGGTCCCATGGAGTGTACCACCTAGGTGCAAATTCCTTGAATCCCCATCATCCATATTGTTATCATTATTTGCGTACTAGTTAGAGCATGCTCTTGGGTGGTATTGGTCTCTAGAAAAACCCTTTCGGTACCGGGAGGCAACTCACACGAGCCTATTGAGAGAAGGGATTTTGGCTAGACATTTCAATTCCTGGTCCAAATTCTCGAAAATGTGTCGTGCTAGACGTTCCAATGATCATCAAGTCAACTGCTTCTCTAGCGTTTGCGAAGAATATCTCTACGCCCGGCCTCCACGAAACACCATGTCGAATCGGCGGTCAAACAGTATATGCTCAAAAGGATTTCATCAAGAATTTCATAAATATTAGCAATTGACAGTTCAGTTTCAAGACTCTTTGTTTTTGATTGCTAAGTGCTCTGTCGTCCGGGCAAATTGGACAGGATTGATGTCTGACGTCATGTTGTTCCTCAGATTGACGATGTTCTCTGCAATATGACTGTAGTCCTTGAGCCTTTTCTAATTGTGCCAATCTTTCACAGCGAGACGTTTCTTGGCAGTATCAACTTTCCATGTGAAATGAAACGTATTTCTTGTGAATCCAACACATCTCCAGCATAAATGTGGATGAATAACGAAACAGCATGCATCTTGCAACAGGTAATCATAGTCATAATTGGGAATGAACATTTTCAAACGACTCCTTTCAGGTCCAAGTCTTGCTGGACATGCTGGTTATTTTCGTAAATGGCTTGGTGAGAGAATTAAGCTGATTCTGAGCGCGAGTCTCGTCACGTAGAGCTCTGGGTGGCATCTGTGGTGGTTGATGGGTAGCCACCTCATGTGATGCCTGGACTGATTGAATGACAATGAAGGCTCAGGCGGCATCACGCCTTCAAATGCAATGCGGTAGGCAGAAACTTGGCCGCTCGGTAAATAGACCTATGCTCAATGCTGATCAGGCAGGCTCAGCCTGCCAAAAACGCAACAGCATCTTGTCTTCTTGAGCCTCCCACCTGGTCATCGTGTCAACCAACCACAGCCACGCTGGACCCTTGGCTTTATCAACCAACACACTGTCTCATCGAATGCGGAGTTTGTCGACTTTGCGGTCTTGACAACCCTTGTCACCAACGCCTTGCTGGGCGGCTAGGCAGCGCTTAAAACCTGGAAATTGCGGGCCTCCGCTGCTCCCCCGCTCCGCCTGACAAGAATTGTCGACATTCGAGGCCTCCGTGAAGTCGTGGCATATAATCTTGTCTTGTTCCTTCTTCAGCATATTTTCCTCTATCACTGCTCAAGATCGGGGGCCAAAAGATCGTATATTGCAACTCGCCGCGGCGTCACCCCACTCACCGACTCCCGGAGGCACTACTCCCGCTAACGCCGCGCCACCCAGCTAAAACTAAAGTTACCTTACGATCCCGAATATGCCTCATTCGACTCTGGGAGAAAAACTGGAGTCGCAGCGATTATGGTGGAACAAGCAACTTGACGTCAGGGCGTTTCTGGTCTTTCAACGTCTGCTACGATTTTACAACACCTTCGTCATTCTCTCTGCTCTTATCAGCGGTCTGGCTGTCGCCGCCCTAACCTTCCCCGACTTCCACCCCAGTACCTCAGGGGTCGGAGAAGTTGGTGAAGGTCTTCTCTGCAGCTCCGCCGTGACAGGCGTCTTGTCTGCAGTCATGGCGACAATGCTGCTCTTCGCATTCGAAGGGTTTGAAAGGGCAACTCGGACGGATCTTGCCGTGGCATGGTCGCCGCTAGTCCTGTTGGACATCTCGATTGTTGAATTTCTGGTCGGAATAGTGTGCTGGTATTGGGCCAAGAATGTTGCTTGGAGGGGAGCTCTGGTCGCAGTGGAGCTGGGGTCACTAATGGGATGCTGCGTTGCCCTTTCGGTTTGGGTGTGGTTACGTCTCAGTACGAAAGGAGGTTTAGGCCTCGAAGAGAGACAGCGTTCGGTGGAACAGGGACGTGCAGCAGATGCGTAAATCTTTTTTAGTTGGAGCCGACTGAACACATCTACACACAGTACGCCTGCAGGAGACGAACGGGAAAAATTGGGCAATGAGAGCTGCAATCCAGCAATATATCTTTTTCATGACCACGGATCCTAGCAGTTGGCCTCCTCGGCCGCCCACTGCTCCTATGCTCGGACTGTGTCCCGGGTCCCAGCTGTGGAGGGCATCAGCGTGTTTGGCACCGTCATCAGCGAATCCGCAGACTGGCGTTCTCCACCCCCAAGGCCTGACAACGACTCGAAAGCCCGGAAGGATTGAACGGGTCCGGAGTTTTTTTTGGGGTCTGTAGACCAAAGTCTCGTCCTTAAACACTGCTAGAAAGATTAGGTGAGCGTCAGACGTCTAATTCAACCTCACTATTTCGTCGCATTCTAGCTCAACCAACTGCGCTCTGTCTGTGGTTATGTTCTTTTCCCATCTGTCTGCCATGGTACTTGAACCCCAAAATCGTCGGCTATCCTCATCGCAGAGACCAGACATCCCTCGAGCAAAACCATTCCATCCCAACACCACGCACCTGCCAGCCAAACATTGTCCTCTCCGTTGACCCATTCCATTCCTATTCCTTGTTCCATCTTTTTGTTCTTAGTTCCCCCAGCGCCCATTATCTTCTGAACAATTGCTCTACTCTCAGTCGTTCTGAGCGTGCGTGTAAACGTGGCCGATCGAAGCTCTTTTTTTGCTTCGGCCTCAGGGTCAAGCGGGCAAGTGCTCACTACCGTTCCCCCAGGCATTGTGTGCAAGGCCTCAGTTCTTGCCTTCTTGCCGAAGTCGGTTCGCAGGCAAATGTGTTGGGCCGGCAAGGTGCTTCCCTGGTGATGTGCGCAGTCCTGAGGATAACCGTGCTTGCCGTGGACGACAGAAAACATGTCTTTCGCGCTCGATTGCGCCGGACGGAGGACAGAACTCTCGACGCGGATCGCTGGAATATTTTCGAGAGACTTCTCTAGAGGTGCAAAGACCTTACCGGCCACATCCGGCGAGACTGCGAGGATCACTTTGTCGAACCCTTCTTCCAGTATTGACCCATCCTTCATTGACTGCCAGCTAATCTTTGTGCTTCCGCTTTCTGCTGAGACGACTTTCATGACGCGAGCTCCTAGTCGAATATCTTGAATGCCCTCTACGAGTCTGGATTCCACTTGGTGGACGCCTCCACAGACGATGTAGTGTTGATGGCCGTGAGATGATTTCTTGTAGTTGACCACATCGCTTGCTGGAAATGCTAGCAGCTCGTCGTGAGAGCATGTTGACACGCTGCTCAAGAGTGGAAGCAAGTAATGTGTCGTGTACCGGCGTGGCAGCCATATTCTCTTGGTGTATTCCGCAAACGACTCTCCGCCGTCAGATCCGTCGGTCTTGGGATGCACGAAAAAGCATGCCACGGTAAACCAAAACTGGCACACGACCAAGTATAAGATTTCGACGACATATGTCATGATCCTTCTATTTCCTGGCCATGAGGGGACTCGGTGCAAGTTTGAGGCATGCACGAAGTACTCCCCCGGCATGCCAACATGTGCGCCCTCGCAGCCTCCACCATCCTTTGCCATAGCTGCGTCAACCTTCCGAGGCGGGAGAGCTTTCGTGAAGGAGAATAGGAATTTGATCGGGTGATAGGGGATACCTAAGTGATCATACATGCGCATCACGTTCGCGTAGTACCCTCCAGCAAGGGCGCGCATCGGGAGATCGATTCGCTCGACCACGCCGGATTTCTCATCCCGAATTGCAACCGACGCCGAGTCGAATGAGAGACTTCCAGCCTAGCAGAATCAGCTTGCAGCACAATACTGCCCACAATGTTTGCGCACCTGTTCAAGCAATGTTACTGCATAGCGTCGCTCTTTGTCGTTGTGAAGCAGGTATGCAACAGTGAGTCCGGCCAAGCCGGTGCCAATGATGGCCACCCTCTGGGGAGCATTGCAAGTCATGCCGCGTAGTGAGATTTTTTGGGAGATTGCCCTTTTACCAGGTTTACTCCAGTCTGCTTCAGGCGCGACCCGCACCTCGGCATCGGAACTAACAAGGCTTGAGGTTTTGACGGCGCGGGAAGTTCAGCTGGATTTACCTTCGCAATGAGCTCTGATTATCGTCGAGCAGTCATCAGCCCCATCAGCACTCGCATGCCGCGCTGCAACATAGGAGCAGCGATCTCATTTATGCAAATCAGTCCCGTGCTTCCAGGTCACCGCCTTCACAGAAAATTTCCCCGGAAGAGACAAGCTCCTGGAAGTGCCCACATCACCAGCGGGTACAATCCCTGAATAGGGGAGCAACGTGTGCGGATGCCGAGGTTGAGCACGGTCACTGACACCGATTCAAACGTCCAGGCACGAGTCGCGTCGATGATTGATGTCAGTTGGATTGCATGGTCTAGGCACAGTTGTCCGGCATCTGTGATTCCTTCAGCTAGGTTCCATTTGTACCTACTCATGAACAGCTTGAACTGCTTAAATGATTTATCAAAGGCTCTCTATGAACCATCTTGCTTTTGTTGTTACGTGTTTTCACCTGTGTCGGATGGACAGTTGCGCCGACTTGA